TTTAAAACCCTAAACGGCGTCAGTCCTGTATACCTGAAGGAGCGTCTCCACCCCCATCGTTCAGCCCGGACACTGAGGTCCAGCGCAGAGGGCCTTCTGGCAGTTCCTTCACTGCGAGAAGTGCGGTTACAAGGAACCAGGCAAAGGGCCTTCTCAGTGGTGGCGCCCACCCTGTGGAACACCCTCCCTTCAGATGTGAAGGAAATAACTGGCTATCCTATCTTTAAAAGACATCTGAAGGCAGCCCTGTTCAGGGAAGTTTTTAATATTTAACGCTGTATTTTTTTTTGTTTTTTTTCCCCTAGAAAACAGAGGAAGATGGAAAGGAATTGTTGAAACAATTAATAGAAGTGGAATACAGAAAGGGAGGCGTGAGGAGGTCGTGGAAATAAGGGAATGAAAGTTAAGATATTGAAATTGTTTTGTGTTTTAAATGGTTTGCGTCTTGTTCTGTTAATCTTATGTTTTTTCTCTTTTTTCTTTTCTTTTTCTTTTCTTTTTTGTTTTTTCTGTTTTATTGTGTTCAAATGGTTGGAAAATCAATAAATATTATTTTTTTTTAAAAAAAGATAACGCTGTATTCTTTTTAATACTTGATTGGGAGCCGCCCAGAGTGGCTGGGGAAACTCAGCCAGATGGGCGGGGTATAAATAATAAATAATAATAATAATAATTATTATTATTATTATTATTATTATTATTATTTCTGCACTGTGGTCACAATTCAAATTTGTGGGACAGACGTGTCTCATGCCTGCAGGGGCAGAAATTTCACATTTGTTCTCATCTTCTCTAACCCCCTGCTACATGTGTAGAATAACGGATCCCTGGTGTTTCGTTCTGTATTTTTACTGTGTGAGTGCACAGAAAGCAAAGTAAATCTGGCCAGTAATTGTCCATGAGAGTAGTGAAATGTGCAGAGCCCACGCAGGCTCTTGCCACCCCGAGTTGGTACCGAGAAACCAGGGACAGCGGACATTATATCTGAAGCCTTCCCCCTCTTCTCCCCACCCTGACCAAAGCGACTGCATGACTAAAAGAGAGATGAAGAGGGTGTCGGAGGAAAGGAGGCTCTTTCTAATATTACGAACCCGGCCAGAAATATTTCCTGAATTGATAGGCAGTTGAGCACAATGTCTCATCAAAGCGGAACGGGAAGCAAATTAGGCCTGATTCAGGGGAGAAGAGGCAGCTGGCAAGGGCGCCACTGAAGAGAAGGGTTTGGAAAAGCGAAATAGATGCCATGTAAATGTCTGAGGCGGCTTTAGGTTGGGGCAGACTGTAGGCCAGTACTGTCTGTTCTGACTGGCAGCAGTCCCACAGGGCATCAGGTGGGAATCTTCAGGTGGAGGAGAAAGGGACTCCCACCCTCCAGCACCCATAGTCGGCTCTCTGCTCCCCCCCCAACTGCCTCCACAGGGGCATCTGAAAGACCATCATACCCTGAGGGACGATGAAATAATAATAATAATAATAAATAATAATAATAATTATAATAATTATAATAATATATTATTTATACCCCGCCCATCTGGCCAGGCTGCCCCAGCCACTCTGGGCGGCTTCCAACAAAATATCAAAAGACACCTATGTATCAAACATTAAAAGCTTCCCTAAACAGGGCTGCCTTCAGATGTCTTCTAAAAGTCTGGTAGTTGTTCTTCTCTTTGACATCTGGTGGGAGGGCATTCCACAGGGCGGGTGCCACCACCGAGAAGGCCCTCTGCCTGGTTCCCTGTAACTTGGCTTCTCGCAGCGAGGGAACTGCCAGAAGGCCCTTGGCTCTGGACCTCAGTGTCCGGGCTGAACGATGGGGGTGGAGGCGCTCCTTCAGGTATACAGGACCAAGACAGTTTAGGGCTTTAAAGGTCAACATCAACACTTTGAATTGTGCTTGGACACGTACTGGGAGCCAATGTAGGTCTTTCAGGACCAGTGTTATGTGGTCTCGGTGGCTGCTTCCAGTCACCAGTCTAGCTGCCGCATTCTGGATTAGTTGCAGTTTCCGGGTCACCTTCAAAGGTAGCCCCACGTAGAGCGCATGGCAGTAGTCCAAGCGGGAGATAACCAGAGCATGCACCACTCTGGCAGGACAGTCCACGGGCAGGGAGGGTCTCATCCTGCGTACCAGATGGAGCTGGTAGACAGCTGTCCTGGACACAGAATTGACCTGCGCCTCCATGGACAGCTGTATTATTCCAGGGTGAGCTAAACTGTGGCCCTTTCTCCAGAAGTTGCTGCCCTGCAAACACACATCGTCTGTTCCCCATGGCCAGGCCGGCTGCTGGAGCTGGGAGGGTGATGGAGCCCAGCAACACGGGGAGATCAGGCACCACGGCTGTGTGGTGTAATGGTTAGAGGGTTGGACTCAGACCCAAGAGACAGAGGTTCTAGTCCCTACGCAGCTGCAAAGCTCACTGGGTGACCTTGGGCCAATCACTGCCGTTTCGCCCGAACTGCCTCACAGGGTTGTTGTGAAGATAAACTCAGGGGAGGGAGAACCACGTGTGTCGCCTTGAGCTCCTTTCTGGAACTGTGGGAATGAATATAATAACAAACATACAAATTGGAGATCTACAGATCTACCCTGTCCTGCTTTAAATGTCTCTTCACTATGGAGGGGATATTTACGGGTGAAAAGTTTTACGTTTGCTCAGTCGATCTTCTGGTCTTGGTGCTGGATAATAATAATAATAATAATAATAATAATACAGTGGTACCTTGGGTTAAGTACTTAATTCGTTCCGGAGGTCCGTACTTAACCTGAAACTGTTCTTAACCTGAAGCACCACTTTAGCTAATGGGGCCTCCCACTGCTGCCGCGCCGCCGGAGCACGATTTCTGTTCTCATCCTGAAGCAAAGTTCTTAACCTGAAGCACTATTTCTGGGTTAGCGGAGTCTGTAACCTGAAGCGTATGTAACCTGAGGTACCACTGTAATAATAAATTTTATTTATACCCTCCCCTCCCCGGCCAGAGCTGGGTTCAGGGTGGCTAACACCAGTAAAACTGCAGTAAAAACATAATAGGAAAAGGAAAAAACCAATTTAAAATAAAGGTTAAAATGCAATTTAAAATGCAGCCTCATTTTAAAAGTAGCCGATAAATCAAGACTGTAAGGGGAGGGAAACATAAGGGTCAGTCCAAACCAAAGGCCAGGCACGACAGGGCCCATCTAGTCCAGCTTCCTGTTCTCACATGCGCAGCCCACATGCGCAGCCCACAAGCAGCACAAGAGCCCTGTCCTGGGGTATCCAGCAGGCGTCATTCAGAAGCATCTGTTGCCTCCGACTGCGGAGACAGAACATAGCCACTGTCGCTAGCAGCCGCCGATAGGCTTCTCCTCTACGAATTTGTATTTGGAAGCCATCTAGGCCTCATGTGGGAGGGAGTTCCGCAGACTAACTATGCGCTGCACGAATCAGTAAGCCTGTAACAAATGCTTGAAGGCAACTGACCGTCCGTTGTCCGTGCGGTTAAAGCGCAATTAAAGATGTCGTCGCAATAAATCTAATGACAACCACTGCTTGGGGCAGCTGCTGTTTTAATTCTGCCTCCAGCTAATTGCAAGTCTTCCACTGCACCGATGAGCCGTTCTGGAGTTTTTCCGCCCCGAATTGCCTCCCCTCCAAACCAAAGGTGCATCCGGGGTGCTTCGTCATTCTGGCTGCTTCTGCAGGTGCAGCAGCTGGGCAGGATGAGGCCGCTGGGCGTTGTTGCACCTGGAGGGCACCAGGTTTGGGGAGGCTCCTCTCTCGACCTCCCCACCTTTCCTTGCAGCAAGCCAAGCCAGGCACCCTTTCAGGTTAGGACCGCAATTTGCGAACCAGCAGCGACAGGCAGGTGTGTGCGCATGCATAAAGGGAATCTGAAGGGGTTGCGCAGCAACAGGATGAAGCTGAGAGCTCAGATGGGATTATTCAGTATCAAAGCACCCTCTGCTGGTTGCCTGGGAGATGGGAGCCCCCCCTTTCTCCCCCACAACTATGCCGCAGATGTGGGGAGGGTGGGAGGAGTCTGCCGCCTCTGGCCAATGAGGGAGACTTTGTGACCCTCCCAGTGGGGGGGGGGGAAGCCCCTTGAGTTCCCCACAGGTGATTTGTGGTTTCCAGGCGAGAAGGGCCTCTCCTACTGCCGGAGGCTACATGCGCACTTCGAGCATGGGATGGGTTTGCATGTCCTGGGTATGCGCTCTGTGTGTGGTTTATTGCCTTTGTGCATCTACAGCATCCCCATGCCCACATGTGTGGCTCTCTGTATGTGCCAGGGCTTTTGCTCCAAGCTCGCCTTTTGCTCACCTCTGTCTTAATTTGAGCGCATGCATGTTCGGGTCGGATTCCCTTGGTATGCATGCTTGGCCGGCATGGTTAGGTCTGGCGTGGGGCATGTTGACGCATGCTTCGTTCCGGGTCTCTCGGTGATTACACAACACCCAGCTGTGGTCCACAGATCTTAAATCTTCGCGTTCAACCCTTCGTCCTTCGTGTCGGATGTACTTCTGTGCTGGTTCTTTCTGAGGGTAGCTCTTAATGGGCAAGCTGCGGCTGCATTCACACAGCAATATACAGTGGTACCTCGGGTTACAGACGCTTCAGGTTACATACGCTTCAGGTTACAGACTCCGCCAACCCAGAAATAGTGCTTCAGGTTAAGAACTTTGCTTCAGGATGAGAACAGAAATTGTGCTCCGGTGGCGCGGCGGCAGCAGGAGGCCCCATTAGCTAAAGTGGTGCTTCAGGTTAAGAACAGTTTCAGGTTAAGTACGGACCTCCGGAACGAACTAAGTACTTAACCCGAGGTACCACTGTATTCCCTTTTCAAGACGTCTCTCTGTTGATTTCCACACGACGCCGGAGCCTTCACATGATGTAAGAGCCACTTCCGGAACGATAGCGGAACATAGCGCAAGTTTAGCACTCGATTCCCTATTTTTTAAAAACAACGTATTTCATAGAACCATAGAATTGTAGAGTTGGAAGGTACCCCAAGAATCAACTTTCTGCCCACTTTGGGGCTCAAACCCACGTCCCTGAGATTAAGAGTCTTGTGCACTACCAACTGAGCTATCTTGGGGGGCTATTTATCTCAGATCTTTTCCTCCAAGGAGCTGAAGGTGGCGTACATGGCTTCCTCCCTCCTGCCCCCCCATTTAATCCCTGCAACAACCCTGAGAGGTAGGCTAGGCTGAGAGGCAGTGACTGGCCCCCCGAGATCTCCAGGGGGGCTTAGTTCCTGAAGTGGCTTTCACATCCTGTGGAAGCTCAGATATAATGCAGGACTTAAAAGTTAGGGGAAGTCGCAAAAACTGAGTCAACTGCCATGCGAATGCAACCTGTATGTTTGGGCAGGTGTGTGTTTTGTTCCAAATGTGTGTTTGAATCATTGGTACGTTTCCGAGCACAATTCAAAGTGTTGGTGTTGACCTTTAAAGCCCTAAACAGCCTCGGCCCAGTACAGTGGTACCTCGGGTTAAGTACTTAATTCGTTCCGGAGGTCCATTCTTAACCTGAAACTGTTCTTAACCTGAAGCACCACTTTAGCTAATGGGGCCTCCCGCCACCGCTACGCAATTTCTGTTCTCATCCTGAAGCAAAGTTCTTAACTCGAGGTACTATTTCTGGGTTAGCGGAGTCTGTAACCTGAAGTGTATGTAACCTGAAGCGTATGTAACCCGAAGTACCACTGTATATCCGAAGGAGCGTCTCCACCCCATCTTTCAGCCCGGACACTGAGGTCCAGCTCTGAGGGCCTTCTGGTGGTTCCCTCATTGCGAGAAGCAAAGCTACAGGGAACCAGGCAGAGGGCCTTCTCAGTAGTGGCGCCTGCCCTATGGAATGCCCTCCCACCAGATGTCAAAGAGATAAACAACTACCTGACATTCAGAAGACATCTGAAGGCAAGCCCTGTTCAGGGAAGTTTTTAACGCGTGACATTTTTGTGTATTTTTGGTCTTTGTTGGAAGCCGCCCAGAGTGGCTGGGGAAACCGAGCCAGATGGGCGGGGTACAAATAATAAATTATGATTATGATTATTGGTGTGCATTTGACGTTGCGTGTGCACTCATGTGACCGTTTGAGGCAGCCACACTGGCAGAGGAACAAGGGGGTGGCACCATCAGGGAGGGGGGATACCATCGCGGCTGCCTCCCCAGACATGCACCGCGTACCCCACCACCACACCGGGTGCCATGCCCCCCGCTGGCAGCGCACCATGCCCCTGGGACATGCGCCAGCCATGCCCCCGCCTGCTCTCTGCCCCCGGTGCTGTTGCATGCAGCTTCACCACTGGGCAGCAACTCCCAAATGTGCTTTGTCCATGCACAAGCATGCTTGCTGTGCAAACTTTCCACATGTGAAGTGCACCCGGCTTCCGGGAGGCGGCTTCCATATCTGTGTGGCCGTATCCACGAGGGTGTGCATACACGCCTTCTTTGTGCACACGCTACGAAGCAAACACAGGGAAAAAGCCACAGATCTGTGCTGCGTCATGTTCCGTGCCTCATCTGCCTCCTACCTCAAAAAGGAAATGAAAGAGCTAGAAAAAGTACCGAAAGAGGATGACTCAAACGATCAGAAGTGCAGATTATTTTCCTTAAAAGAGCATCTTTAGCTTAGATCAGGCTTCCCCAAGCTGGTGCCCTCCAGGTGATGGCGGGCCTCCCATCAGGATGGCTGGGGTGGCTGGGACTCATGGGGGTCATAGACCAAACGATCCGGAAAGCACCAGGTTGCGGAAGGTTGGCTTTGAGGAAAGGCAATAACAGGATGATGGACAGAATGGTACAGGGAATTTCTCCAAAGTTGTGTCTTCTGGAGAGAGTGACTTGCTTATACGGGAGAGACATGGGCTGCTTATTCATTTAATGGAACGCTTGTTTCTGCAATAATTCAAAGAGAAAAACAAATGAAGATGTTTAATTGTCCAGATTGTAAAGTTAGTGTTATAAAAAAAACCAACCTGCTCCTTTTCCCTTATGGGGTATTCCAGAGCCCATATAGAGTCCTTAAGTGGGTCCCCTATCAGTAGGAGTAAATAACAGAGGCCAAACAGAGAATATTGAGAAGCAAAGCAGCTAGTAAGCCTGATCTTTCTTCTTCTTCTTCTTCTCCTTCTTCTTCATCTTCTGCGATCACTCGTAAAGGAACTGTTGCAACAGGGTTCCCACTCACCACACGCAGGAGGGAGGAGAACCCAGAACAATGGTGCGCAAGCCCTTTTGAAATTGCCCACCCTGTAGCCCAAGACCACCCCCCATACATCACAGGAGGAGGCAGTCTACAGCAGAAATCCTGTCTGCCAGGATACCTGATAATGGTCACTGATGCTTTACCTGGGCAGACTGGCCATTCTTTTGTAATGGTTAATATTCTGGGAATTGTAGCTCTGGGGGGAACACAGAGGGGCCTCTGAGCATGTGAAGAGTGTGTTTCCTTTGAAAACAGGTGTTGGTGAAAATGTGCCTATTCTGCCACCCTTTGGAGTTCCAAACCTGCAATTCTTTTTACTTAGCTGCTGGTTGTTGGTCAAACAAAGTACAAGGCGCAGCTGATGGTAAAACACCCTTAGCTTTACTTATGGAAGAAGTGACAGGACTTAAAGGTTGAGCCATGAGTCACCTGCACCTATTTTGATTTATATTGCTGCTTATACGGCCTAGGAACCTCGTACCTACGGGACCGCCTCTCCCGGTATGCCCCACGGAGAGCCTCAAGGTCCATAAATAGCAACACCCTAGAGGTCCCAGGCCCTAAGGAAGTTAGATTAGCTTCAACCAGAGCCAGGGCCTTTTCAACACTGGCCCCGGTCTGGTGGAATGCACTGCCTCATGAGACCAGGGCCCTGCAGGATCTGATTTCTTTCCGCAGGGCCTGTAAGACAGAGTTGTTCCGCCTGGCCTTTGGCTTGGAGCCAATTTGATTCCCTCTCCCTCTTTCTTTTTTCTTTTCCTTTCTCCTCCTGCGATGAGGCTGCATTTTAATATTTTAATGTTTCAATATTTTAATTGTTGTATTTTAATCTTGTTTTTAAGTTGTATTCATTCAACTTGTTTTTATTATTGCTTGTTAGCCGCCCTGAGCCCGGCCTTGGCTGGGGAGGGCGGGGTATAAATAAAAATTATTATTATTATTATTATTATTATTATTATTATATCTTCTTCCTCTGAAAGCACCCAAGGGTATTAAAGGATTGCGAACTGGCCAGACAAAAATGTCCTCGGCTGTTCCTCCTGTGTCTTTAAGCAGTCGCTTATCATCATAGAATTGTAGAGTTGAGTGGGACCCTCAGGGGTCATCTAGCTGAACCCCCGCAATACAGGAATCACAGCTAAAGCATCCCTGACAGACGGCCATCCAACCTCTGCTTAAAAACCTCCAGTGAAGGAGGCAAACCTTTACATAGCAGGGAGACAAACATTTCCCCCTGGTAAAGTATGTGACCAAGCTGCTCCTTGATGCACAGGAGCGTGGGCTGGATATAAAAGTTGGCAACCTTTGTGCCGCAATACATCTGGCATTTATACTTTAAAAAAAACATTTATATGCTTGCTTACAAATAAGGAGCCCTTTCGCTTAGGTTCCCCTGCCATGCAATGGAGGGGAAAGTGATGAATTGCCGTCACACCCATTCCAAATTGTGCCTTCATAAATCTAACTAATTGAGGTTTGGGGGGGAAATGGGGGCAGGGAGTTATATTCATGTAATTAGGCAGCGGTGGGCGGAGCCGAAAGCTGTGTCGGGGGCAAGTGAGGTCAGGCCATCTGTCGCCGCCGGCTGGCCTGGATTTTGTAAGGTGGCCTAGAAATGGGGGAATTAAACGCCCACGTTGCCGGACATGTTTCTGCGGTGTCCATCTTTGCCCCAGTTCCCTAGACCGCCCTAGTTGCAGCCCCAAACATCTGGAGGGCACCGGGTTGGGGAAAGCTGCCCTAGACCCTTCAGCAGAAAACATTCTCGACCGACACGGGCGTTGATGCCGTCAAGCTCTCTTGGGCGTCATCGATCTCCTTCGCTGCACCAGATGCCAAGAGGGACAGATGTCTCAGTGGGGTGCTTCCCCGCCTGCCCCCAACCGGCGATGCTCTTGGGGGGTGAGATGCAGCTCAGAGTCAGACCTATTTGTGGGGTAAAGAAGGGCTGGGAGGAAAGAGTTTATGCCTGCCGAGCGTAAACACCTGGGGGCTTCGATACTGCTGGTGGCCCCCTCTTGCAGCACAGATGATGGGAACGATCAGGGCAGATTAAAGAAAACCCTTCTTCACACAGCAGATAGTTCATCTATGGAACTCACTGCCACAGTTGGCTTTAAAAGAGGATTGGGCAAATTCATGGAGGAGAAGGCTACTGGTCGCTACTAGGCAGGGTGGCTAGGCTCTGCCTCCAGAGGAAATCATCCTTCCTATTGATGTTGTTGTTGAGTCGTTTAGTTGTGTCCGACTCTTCGTGACCCCCTGGACCAGAGCACGCCAGGCCGTCCTGTCTTCCACTGCCTCCCGCAGTTTGGTCAAACTCATGCTGGTAGCTTCGAGAACACTGTCCCACCATCTCGTCCTCTGCCGTCCACTTCTCCTTGTGCCCTCCATCTTTCCCAACATCAGGGTCTTTTCCAGGGAGTCTTCTCTTCTCATGAGGTGGCCAAAATCTTTCAGCCTCAGCTTCACGATCTGTCCTTCCAGTGAGCACTCAGGGCTGATTTCCTTCAGAATGTAGAGGTTTGATCTTCTTGCAGTCCATGGGACTCTCAAGAGTCTCCTCCAGCACCGTAAGTCAAAAGCATCAATTCCATTTTCAAATATCTAAGGTGCTGTCGCATGGAAGAAGGAGGGAGCTTGTTTTCTCCTGCCCTCGAAGGTAGGACTCGAACCCATGGCTTCCAAGTGACAAGGAAGGAGATTCCGACTCAACAACAGGAAGAACGTTCTTCCAGGGTCCCTTCCAACTCTACAGTGCTATGCTTCTATGAAATATCAGTTGCTAGAAGCCACAAGAAGGGAGTCTACTCTTGTGGTCTCTAATATATTCATTTTGCAAAGAGTTGGCTGGAAACCTGTATTGCAAATTTCAGATAAGTATGGATTT